CCACCCACCATCACCTGTCTTACCCACCATTCATGTCACCACCCACCATCACCTGTCACCACCCACCATCACTTCATCTCACCACCATCACCTGTCACCACCCACCATCGCCCACCATCACCTGTCACCACCCACCATCACCTGTCACCACCACCATCACTTGTCACCACCCACCATCACGCCTGTCACCACCCACCATCACCTGTCACCACCACCGTCACACCACCCACCTGTCACCACCATCACCTGTCACCACCCACCATCACCTGTCACCACCGCAATCATTCTTACCCACCATCTGTCACCACCACATTTCTTCCACCACCTGCATCACCTGTCACCCACCATCACCCTGCCACCACCATCCTGTCACCACCATCACTTGTCACCACATCACCTGTCACCATCCATCCTGTCACCCCCACCATCACCTGTCACACCACCATCACCTGTCACCACCCATCACTTGTCACCAACCATCACCCACTCATTACCCATCTGTGTCACCACCCACCATCACCACCTCTCCTGCACATCACCGTCACCACCACCATCTCCCCTTTTACCATCTTGTCACCACCCCCATCAGCTTGTCACCACCACCATCACCTGTCACCACCACCATCACCTGTCACCGCCACATCACCTGTCACCACCCTCCCATCACCCCACCATCACCTGTCACCCCACCATCACCTCACCACCACCATCACCTCACCCCCGTACCACCACACCATCACCTGTCACCACCACCATCGCATGTCACCACCCCTCATTACCTGTCACCACCCACCATCGCCTTGTCACCACCCACCATCACCTGTCACCACCCACCATCACCTGTCACCACCACCATCACCTATGCCACCTTTCACCCCACCATCACCTATCACCAGCCACCATCACCTGTCACCGCCACCATCACCTGTCACCATTTGTTGTGTCACCATCCCTGTCACACCCACCATTCTTGTCACCCCTTACCTGTCCACCTCACCTGTCACACCCTTCACCATCTGTCCACCCGCACCATCACCTGTCACCACCACCATCACCTGTCACCACCCACCATCTCATGCCACCCACCATCGCCTGTCACCACCCACCCTTCACCACCTCCCCAATCTTCCCCACCACTCACCACCCCCTCCCACCGCTTCCCATCGCTTCACCACCATCATTCACCACCCACTCCACCATCACCTGTCACCACACCAGCTACCACCCCTCTGTCACACCATCATCCCCCCACTGTCTCTCCCACACCCACCATCACCTGTCACCACCCACCATCGCCTGTCACCACCCATATCACCACCCACCATCGCCTGTCACCACCCACCATCACTTCTGTCACCACCCACCATCACCTTTCCCATCACCTGTCCCACCCACCATCACCTGTCACCAACCTGCACCAATCTACTACCCACCATCACCTGTCACACCACCATCACTTGTCACCCACACCATCCTCACCCATCCCTGTCCCCCCCACCATTCTTGTCACCACCACCATCACCTGTCACCACCCACCCTGCCTGTCACCCTCACCCACCCATCACCTGTCACCACCCACATCACCCACCATCGCCTGTCACCACCCACCATCACCTGTCACCACCACAAATCGTGTCACCACCCACCATCACTGTTACCACACCATCTTTCACCATCACCTGTCACCACCCACCATCTTATCACCACCCATCACCCTGTCACCACCCCACTTCTTGTCACCACCCCATCACCTGTCACCCACCATCACCTGTCTACCTATCATGTCACCCACCATCACCTGTCACCACCCACCATCACCTTTGCCGTCACCCACCATCGCCTGTCACCACCACCATCACCTGTCACCCCACCATCACCTGTCCACCCACCATCTACCTCTTCACCCCCACCATCGCCGTCACCACCATCGCCTGTACCATCGTGTTCACCACCACCGTCACCTGTCACCCCACCATCACCTGTCACCACCCACCATCGCCTGTCACCACCCACATCACCTGTCACACCCACCATCACTTGTCACCACCCACCATCACCTGTCACCACCTCCACCCTGTCACCCACCTTTGTTTGTTTTTGTCATCCTTCACCCCCACCATCACTGTCACCTGTCACCCCTCCTGTCCCGCCCACCATTGTTCACCGCATATGTCACCACCATCTATCACCACCACCCATGTCACCTGTCAACCCCATCACCTGTCACCACCCACCATCACGCCACCACCACCTCGCCTGTCACCACCCATCACCTGTCACCACCTTCCCACCATCACCTGTCACCACTCCTGTCACCACCCACCATCACCTGTCACCACCATCACCTGTCACCACCCACCATCACCTGTCACCACCCATCTCACCTGCACCAACCATCTGTGCCATCACCTGTCCACCCTTGTCACCACCTCACTGTCACCACCTCACCCTGCCACCCCCATCCCCCACCCACCATCACCTGTCACCACCCCCATCCTTGTCACCACCCACCATCACCATCACCACCACCATCACCTGTCCACCCCCACCATCACCTATCACCACCCACCATCACCTGTCACCACCACCATCACATGTCACCACCACCATCCCCATTTTCCCACCATCACCTGTCACCACCCACCATCACCTGTCACCACCCACCATCACCTGCTCACCCACCATCACTTGTCACCAACCACCATCCTGCTCCACCACCACCATCATGTCACCACCCATCACCTGTCACCACCCACATCACCTGTCACCACCACCACCATCACCTGTCACCACCCACCATCACCTGTCACCACCCACATCACCTGTCACCACCCCCCCCCCCACCATCCTGTCACCACCCCCTTGCACCACCCATCTGTACCCACCATCACCTGTCACCACCCACCATCACCTGTCACCCCCACCATCCTGTCACCACCCACCATCCTGTCACCACCTGCATTACCATCTCACCTGTCACCACCCACCATCACCTGTCACCACCCACCATCACCTGTCACCACCCAGCATTAGCATCACCACCACCTTGTCACCCATCACCTGTCACCACCCATCACCTGTCACCACCACCATCCTTGTCTACCATCACCTGTCACCACCCACCATCACTGTCACCACCACCATCACCTGCCACCCACCATCACCTGTCACCACCCACCATCACCTGCATCACCTCACCACCCACCATCACTTGTCACCCACCCACCATTAGCATCACCCACCATCACCTGTCACCAACCACCATCACCTGTCACCCCACCATCACCTGTCACCAACCACCATCACCTGTCACCACCCACATCACCTGTCACCACCCACCATCACCTGTCACCACCATCGCTCACCACCACCATCACCTGTCACCACCCACCATCGCCCTGCCACCACCATCCCCTCACCCTCATGCACCCACCTTCCCACCATCACCTGTCACCACCCCCATCACCCATCACCATCACCTTCACCACCACATCTGACCACCATCACCTGTCACCACCCACCATTACCTGTCACCAACCCACCATCACCTGTCACCACCCATCCCATCACCACCCACTCACCATCACCGTCACCAACCACCATCACCTGTCACCACCCACCATCTGTCACCCACCCATCACCTGTCACCACCACCATTGCCTGTCACCACCCACCATCACTCACCACCCTTGATCGCCACCACCATCACCTGTCACCACCCACCATCACTTGTTCACCACCACCGTTAGCCCCATCACCACCCACCATCACGTCACCACCACCATCGCCTCTCACCCCCCACCATCACCTGTCACCACCCACCATTCATTCCCTGTCACCACCCATCACCCCTGTCACCACCCACCATCGCCTGTCACCACCCCCATTACTTGTCACCCACCATCACCTGTCACCACCCACCATCACTTGTCACCAACCACCATCACCTGTCACCACCCCATCCCACCATCACCTGTCACCGCCATCACCTGTCACCACCCACCATGCTTGTCGCCCCACCATCGCCTGTCACCACCCACCATCACCTGTCACCACCCACCATCACCTGTCACCACCCATCCGCCCATCCCACCACCATCACCTGTCACCCACCATCACCTGTCTACCACCATCATCTCACCGCCACCATCAGCGTCACCACCCACCATCGCCGCTCACCACCCACCATCGCCTGTCACCACCCACCATCATATCGCCACCATCACCTGTCACCACCCACCATCACTCACCACATCCCTGTCCCACCTCACCTCCACCACCCACCATCCTTCACCCACCTTACCACCATCACCTGTCACCACCCACCATCACCTGTCACACCCACCGTCACCTGTCACCCACCCCCTGACCATCACCTGTCACCACCCACCATCACCTGTCACCACCCACCATCACCTGTCACCACGACCATCACCTGTCACCACCCACCATCACCTGTCACCACCTACCATCACTTGTCACCACCCACCATCGCCTGTCACCACCCACCATCGCCTGTCACCACCCACCATCACCTGCCACCACCCACCATCGCCTGTCACCACCCACCATCACCTGCCACCACCCACCGTCACTTGTCACCACCCACCATCGCCTGTCACCACCCACCATCGCCTGTCACCACCCACCATCGCCTGTCACCACCCACCATCGCCTGCCACCACCCACCATCGCCTGTCACCACCCACCATCACTTTGTCACCACCCACCATCACCTGTCACCACCCACCATTACTTGTCACCACCCACCAACATATCTTAGCATGGTGTGGGGAAAAAGGTTACAGGTACGTATTTGTGTATCTCGTGTAGTTTCATGCAACAACTGAACTATACAGTCAGTCACCTTGTCTCTGTCTATCATTGCTAGACAATACGTGTCCATGACGCGCGCGCGCGCGCACACACACACACACACACACCAGGTGTTTCCCTTCCCATGCAGCCTGGCCTCTGTAATATATAAGGCTAGACCATCTTACTATAGCCCACTATCGGCTCCTGTTATCTCAGTGACAGTAACAATGCACTTCTCATTTATCATACTTGCTGGTGTCTTGGGTGTTGCCTCTGCTACTATTGTCCAAGACTGTGGTAAGTCACCTTCTTAGTAATAATGATGTATCATTCAATAAAAATCTCAGTTCTGTACTTACTGAACTGATAAACAAATTTTTAAATAAAATATTTCATGAATACTCTGTATTAAAAAGATTAATTGAGCACAACAAATTACATTTTGTCTCAGTACATTATCTGTTTTTTTCTGGTTCATCAAACATGTTTTAGCAATATTTTTTGCTACTTTCACTCACACTCTTCTTTGAGCTCACAATAAACTCTTCATATGGTAAAGACAATTGGATCACATAGAATTTACTCAACAAAGGCAAACAATAGACAAATACGCATTGAATATGGGTAGCAGAATACGAGGTGGTGGTTGGGGGTAGGGGGACCTGATTTGCACATATCGTAAGTCACGAGGGGTGTGCTCCTCAGGCCTATGTGGTGACCATGCTGAACCGTGTAGTATAAATGAATCCAGACTATGTATAAAAAATAAAAGGTCACAATTACTTGACAGTGTATCAGTGAAACTGTGCACAATAGAAAATACAAATTGAGGACTTACTGTACGGTATATATATTTTGTTGCTTGTGGTATTACGAGCAAACCATCCTGTTGCCCACAACTATGGTGCACTCAGGACACAAGAGGTGATTCACACCAATCACTATGAACTTAAATTACAAGTCCCTGGTTTGTGAACTTTTAATGTGTTTGTAAACCAGATCAATAAACCCCATTAAAAATCAATGATACAGTAAACAACCTATTGGTCCCCAGACATAAATGAAAACCACATTTAGAATAAAAAAAATAATAATAAATAATTAAAAAAAATATATAAATACCTGTACACAGTAAATCACTTGATATTATAATCTACAGTATAACAACTGAGTACACAGTACTGTCCTGTACCCATAAAATAAAATACTGTACAGGTTGACAACCCTTTAGCTGAAATTCCAAAGCAGCTCTAAATCCAATTTTTTTGTGGCATTTTTTTTTCTAAAAGATATCCCGAGCATACTGTTATTGTTAAGGGCACAGAGGCAAAAAATATAACCAATATGTAATTATAATGTGCAACACATGGTTTCTTTCATTTCTCATTTCTGTGATACCTTGTTTCACTTTACTGTTAATGTAATTTTTTTTTTTTGTTTGGCTCATAAAATTATACAAAATACCGGCCGAAATATAATTTACATTGCTGAATTCTTACAATATGATGATCATTTTACAGACATAAACATCATAGTTTTGCATTACATACCAATTTATAGATCTAATGTAATAATTTGGTTTTACATAAAACAAATATTTTATCTTTGCAGTACCAAAATATATGAGTTTACGTTTTAAAAAATATTCTGTATGCAAGAATCCAGAAATGTCAATTATATTATCCTAACTTTAGTCTGAGGTATTATTTATTACAAAACGTTAAAATCTAGTGTTTCACCCAATCATTTCTCAGAGAAGTAGGGGCCAGTGAGCTGGGAAAAGGGGGGGGGGATTTGAGTCCATTATTTGAATGGACATTAACCTGGTGGCTGTATTTCTCTTAAAAATTAATTGTGTGAGCATACCATCATAAAATTTAGATGTTATTTTTACTACAACATAGGTTATTGTGTCAGAAAAAGTGGAGTTTGGGGGTCGGGCCAGTCTCTATTGGAATTAATCCCATATGTTCTGTTGTTCACTTTACGCAGTTTTCACTTTCAGCGGTACCCTGTGGGTTCAATTGACCGTGTAAATACAAATTTTAATAAAAAATACACCAAAATAAAATAATAATGATAACAATAATAATAATAACATATAATAATAAAATTAACAATAATAATAACAATAATACTGTAATGTAAAATAATAATAATAATAAAGAAATACTGTACAAGAATGAAAAAAAGATCAAAAGTGAGAAACACGACCTAGACCTATGATGTTATTATTATTATAATTTTTTTATATTTTCGCCATCCAGGCCCCAATGTGGGTCTGATGACACATGCCAGATGATTGTCATAGTATAAAATTAACCATTCTGAAAACCGAAAAATTCCGAAATGCCTCTGGCCCCAAGGATTTCGGATAAGGGATTGTCAACCTGTACCAGTACATTTATTATGTAGGTAATAAAAAATATTTACTGTAATTTGATGAAGTAAAGTATACCACCCATTGTGAATGGTTAATATGTATACAGTACAGGTAAATGAAATATTTTCACCAAATCATCAGTGTACCGGTAAACCACAACATTGCACAAAATGTGTGTGGCACCACTCAAACAAAGCTGATACATTACGGAGGATGTCTGTGTGCAGAAGTGATGTGCAGTATTGTACACCTACAGGGTATTTCATTTTTCCACACTTAGGTGTCTGAACTCCTGCATTTTGCCAATCGATGACTGTATGATTGAGAAAAAGAAAGAAAATTATATGAGTAAAACAAATGTTCAAAAATCATGGTCATAAATTATAATGTTCACATGAGTAGATGTTTGTATGCATGATGTTAGGAAACTGTGGATTACCTGTATTTATTGCAGGGTCAAGTTCCATATTTCACATTCGCTCTAACAATTTGTATTCTGATAAAATTCATAATCTGCTTGTCTGAGAAAATTTAGATATTGCAAGGAAATCTTCCATAGGTGGACCACCGCCAGGTGAGGAAGTATTGCTGTAAGTATTGCATAAGGAAAATACTGATGTCTAAGTCAGGCAAACCAAGTACAATACTGTACTTTGTTTACAGCAGTCAAGGAAAACATGTTTCACATTCAGTGGGAACTTACGGTAAGTTACCAGTATGTGCTTCTTTTCTTTACAACTTGCTGAACATTTGTTTTGCCAGGATCTACAGCAGAACTTAAAGAAGTTTCCATCTCTAACTGTGGCACCCCACCATGCGTCCTTAAGCGAGGTGAAGATATTATAGTCGATATCAACTTTGATAATAGTGAGTATTATTTTGATTTTCATATATATATATATATATATATATATATATATATATATATATATATATATATATATATATATATATATATATATATATATATATATATATATATATATATATATATATATATATATATGCTGATAACCACAGGACAAGTTCCAAAGCTTTGGTATTCACATCTTCAGGGGTGAGTACAGACTTAACAACAGCCTGATCAACACTGTGGAATTAGAAAGACTGTAAATTGCCATTCCTAGAGCACATGCAATCAGAACATTGCTTTTTAAGTTCAGTATTTATAAACCAACTAATGTGTGTTCATACATTCATTATTATTCTGCCCACCATAATAAAGTCAAACAGTCAGTATTTTCAACAATGTTTTTTCATTGCCTTGAGAATTTGCAGTCCAGAATTCAACGATGAGGAATAAATATATATATATAATATTGGCTCAAACCTTAAATACCTAGATCTTTCATAGACAAATGCTTAAACATTACTAAGAAAACTTTTTATAGAACTGACCCAACCACCCATGACCATAAGAATATCTTAATATTACCATTTCACAAATTTCTCACACATTCCTGCACAGCTAAAAACCTGGAACGTCAATGTGGCATTTAAAACTCATGCACTGTTAAACAAATGTTAATCAAGAACTCCCCAACACAATTGGTTGCAATTATAAAGTTCCTTGCAAGGAATATGTATATTTTACTTACCAAACAGGTAAAGATCTTGCAACTAGAATTAAACAACACAAATACAGTGTTAGGACAGGCAGAATCCAATGCTCTGTTTGTTCATTTGAGATAACAAGCATTGCATTGACTGGGATAATGCCTCCTCAATATTACCATGTAATTCAATTGATAGTAGGAACATCATAGAATCTAGTCTTATTAAACATACCAAAGCATTCAACATGAATTTGAGTAGCGGCATGTACAAGCTGGACAATTTTGTAATTAAGAAGATTTGTGATCAGGTGAAGGCCGGGTCACTTGCCATCTACCTGACCACCAACGTTGTGTGCTATTTAAAGATTAGTGGTCATTACCTAATACCTGACCATTGTGCTGGTCTCACCCTCTCTGTATAATACACCTATTTGCCTCTCTAGTCTGCTCACCCCTGAAGATGTGAATTACAGCGGGGAACTCGTGTTTCTTCTTTCCTTGTGGTTATCAGCATACCTGAATCGCAGCACCTACAGTGATTTACTTGCATATATATATATATATATATATATATATATATATATATATATATATATATATAATATATATATATATATATATATATATATACACAGTGGGGTATACTTATATACGAAGGTTCCCTACTACAATATTCCTATAAAAGGTTTTACCTATAAAATTGAGATTGCTATAAGTTGAAAACTCCTACAACGAACATTATTTAGAAAAAAATTTTTTTTCTTTTTTAATTTATTGTTTTTTATTACAAGTATTAATGATGTTCTTTATTTCAGGGGTTTAGATGCTTATTTATGCACTTTTTACAATTTTTACAATTTTATATTATATTTTTCAGTGTTAAGTTGGTTTGTGTTGAGGCCTAGGCAATTAATCCTATATGACGAATGCTATAACAGAACAAGGTTCTAGAACCAATTAGTTCGTTATAGCATATATGTATATATATATATATAATATATATATATATATATATATATATATATATATATATATATATATATATATATATATATATATATATATATATATATATATATATATATATATATATATATATATATATATATATATATATATATATATATATATAAGTGAAGTATGTTATTCAAGGTGATGGGTCTCATCCCAGGCCTGCTACTAACACTCTGTGTAAAAAAATACGGTACTTTATCTTACCTTAGTGTTATTCAGCATGCAGGTACCCCTAAACACTGGCACATCACTATCACTTCCACTGGGAGTCTTGGCTTTAAGGTCCTCAAACAATTGTTTAGCCTTCTCACAAATTATAGCTTCACTAATGTTACCACCTGCCATTTCTTTCTCCTTTATCCACACTAAGAGTAAATTTTCCATCTCTTCAATCACATTACACTTTGCTTTGCTAAGTCTAAAGATTCCCTTAGCCACTTGCACAGTTTTTAACTCCTCTTTATTCTTCAAAATCGTACATATAGTCGATTTAGCCATCCCATATTCATCACTAAGTTTCGCAATGCTTCTTCCATTCTCACGTTTCTTTATAATTTCTTTCTTAGTTTCAAGGGTTATTAGCTTTCTCACTCGCTTTGGACGACTCATTGTTACAATTGTATGCTTGTATAACAAAATAGTTATACAAATAACGCGAATTTCCACATCAAAAGACGAAATTTCAACAATAACAGTGGTGCACTGGCTACACAATGAGACAAAGATGGCGCCTGACGCTCTTGTTGTGGGTCGCGGTACAACAATATTCATGCGCCAGGCGAAATAGTCCCGTATTCTTCCACGTTCGTTGTAGGAGTTGCGTTCGTTATAGCATTCTCAATTTTATAGGTAAAACCGTTCGTTATAGGAATATTCGTAGTAGGATCCGTTCGTTATAGCATACCCCACTGTGTGTGTGTGTGTGTGTGTGTGTATATATATATATATATATATATATATATATATATATATATATATATATATATATATATATATATATATATATATATATATATATATATATATATATATATATATATACACACACATTCAACCCTCGCTTTACGCGGTCCCACATTCCGCGTTTCCACTTTTACGCGGTACCCTGCCGAAACCGGAATGCTCACATTCCGCGGTGCGTGTACCCCTTTACGCGGAGAGCGGCTGGCGAGCCGCGCCATTTTTGGATCCAATCCCCCGCCATCTCTCCCAGTGGCCCAAGGTTAAAAATGCTTTGAAACCTTTGATCTAGATGTATGATAGTTATTTAGTGGGTCCCTTATTTTTGACCTGACCTGACTAGTCACGTCACCCCCCTTCTCTTAAGCTCCTCTACGTGTGTGTTGGTGTGGGGATTAGTGGATGACATCATTATGACCTGACCTCATATTTTTAAGGTCACCCTGTATATTTAAGCCTCTCTCTGTCCATCTAATCCAGTTGCCTCTGAAGATGTCTTGAATAAAGACGAAAGCTAAGGTGCTCCGTTGTTTCCCTTTTCCCGTGTGATTTTATCAATATATATATATATATATACACATACAGGTAGTCCCCGACTTACGACTGCTTGGACTTACGTCCATCGGTACTTACGACCTGCTCTGACCTTACGACCGTCGGGACATACGACCGCCGCAGTTGTGACCAAATTTTTATTTTATTCTTTTTTTCCCCAAATGACGCGTGCATTTTCTAAACCAAAACGTTTCCAGTTAATGTAGTCTCCATGTATAATTAGAAAATTATGGGGGCCCTGTGTTCATTCAGCTGACTACATTAAAGGTAAGTGCTCAGTCACACTATATCCATTCCTCATTATTTATTACTTTTACTGTACTGTATACAATCCTCATTATTTGTTACTTATACTGTACTGTATTTCATTGTAGATTTTTTCTTTCTTTTTTTTTAGCAAAATTTTTTTGATTTTTTTTTTTTTTTATCAATGTTGGACTTACGACCATTCGGACTTACTGTGAGGGCGCGTGTTTTTCCATCACCTACACCACCCTCATCTTACTTACTTCTCTTATCTTAGTTTTTACTCTTAATTGGTTCTGTCACCTGTTCTTTTGGTCGCATGGACATTCTTTTGGTAGCATGGTCATTCTTTTGGTAGCATGGTCGAGGGTCTAGGCACATGGGTATGGTAATTCTGGTATCAAGTCACTTGGACGGAAATAAAGGTAAAATACTGTGGGAGAAATGAATACACGTAAAGTACTCTAAAAACAAATTTATAAATATGAAATCAAAGGGGAAAAGATATATTATTAATCATATAATTACCAGGCTCAACTCCTGGGCTTATGGCAGACTCAGTACTTTCTTCTTTACTTATTTTCTTATTTACTTATTTTCTTATTTCTTTACTCAACAGTAATTACTCAGATCTTACACTCTTAATGCACACAACCTTACTAGTGTTACATTACATAGCATAGCAGGACCAGTTCCTTGGCCCTACTCACAATACATAGCACATGGCACTCATTGTAGATTACTTTACTCAACATCCAAGTGGTACTTCTCAGTACAGTTACAAGACCTTACTCAACATACACGTTAATAATGAAACCCGCAGATACATGGAGCCAACTACCCAACATGGGATAATTATTTCCAACTAATTATCCCTAACATACATATTACAACACCCTCTGTTGACATATACTTCCAGGGAGGGTCTCAAGGTGGAACACTGGGGTTCACGACCGTTGTTATTGTGTGTGGTAGCCAGACACATGGCGAATCTGGGGTCTGGCCCAACGAGGCAGTGGAGCACATTAATCAGGCCGCATCGGTGCCATCGTTTCATATATGGTCCCTGCTGGGTATCTACTACATCCGGGGCAGTTGTTGAGCGATGCAAGAATCACAATGGGATCTGGAACAAACGTTGGGGCGGCGTCAGGGGACGCTCGCCCTGCGATGCGGGGGTATATATCCCTGAGTTGCCAGTAATCGCTACTCACGCAATGACAATAATCACAAACAAACTAACTGTTACTCATTCAAAGATGACCCTCAGTTGACAAAGGTCTGGCGAATTACTTGAGTTGATATACACAGACTAATTCAAGATTGAGCTTCCCAGGAGAAAGTGGAATAACAACGCATTGATAACTGTCTTCACAAAGGCGGGACTCTGGGAGGGAACACAAGTGTAGCATCTATGGGGAAAAACACGTCTTCTCGGGGGTCGCTAACTCACTCATGTTTTGCGGTCGTGGAGTTTAATAAGAATCATTAGTTAAATAGATCAGCAGTCAACGTGACCATGACATTACGACCTGGAATTGGGTCCCTAACCCCGTCGTAAGTCGGGGAGCACCTGTTTATATATACACATACAGTACAGTATATACAGTTTCTCCTCAACTTACGATGGGGTTCCGTCCCAACGACCAGGTCGTAAGTCGAATTGGTCGTAAGTCGAAAATGCAAAAATAATACAGTGACCCCTCGTTTAACGAACACCTCGGTTAACGTAATTTTGATTAACGAACTGCCTTCCATAAGGATCTTCAATTCGGTTAACGAAAAAAAATTCGGTTAAGTTTCTTGAACCGACAACATAAGCTTGCACTGACCGGGCAACTTTTAGTATCAGTCGCCAATACATAATCGGTTCTAGGGCTTAAATTCCTTACTATTTTAGTAAATATCAAGAAGTTTATACTATTCAATAATTTTAAAAGTTTAATATTCAATTTTTTAGTCATTTTAACAATTATTGAACATAATTGAAGGTAAAGTGACTAGTTTTGGCGGCATCCAGCCTCTTAACACAGCAAACAGAGTTAGTCTCTCTCTGTTTTCACTGGAGGTAACATCTTGCTTGAGACTCTCTTCAACTAAACACTTTTTTTCTTGTTCCAAGCAAATTATTGGTCATTTTGAAATATATTTTATATATTGACAATATATAATGCAGTGCAGTGTTGATTTAAAGAAAATAATCTTGAATTACACCAGAGAGCTAAAATTTTATGGGTGAAAACCATGGGGTGACTTCTCTTCCACCCCAATGCCTTCTCTTCTTCCTTTCTCCTCCACCCCCATTCTAAATCCCATCATCATCATCATCATCCAGGAGCCTTTACATACACACCTCAAAGTAAGTGAACTTTTCTACCATTTTTGTTGAATTTAGGAAATTTTCGGTGAGCTGGAACCAATTACCCAAAAACCCATTGAAACAATGGTTTCGGTTAACGAACTTTTGGTTAACGAACGACCTTCTGGAACGGATTGAGTTCGTTAACGGAGGGGTCACTGTACATAGAAATTCTAAAATGAAATACAATACTGTAAAATTAATCAATAATGAAAAATTAATAAAGTGTTCTTTTGCACTTACCTTTAATGTAGTCAGCAGCTGAATGTACACGGGGCCTCAATAATTTTTTAATTAAGCATGGAGACTACATTAATTGGATGAAGCAGATGAGGAGACAGGGCTGGGTGAGTCATCAATTTCACTTTCTTCAGACAGGCTAACATACTTGCTTGTTGAAGGTATTGGATCATCTTTAGGGCGTGAGGAGACAGCAGTAGGGGACTTCTTAGAAAATATGTCCAATTTAGACTGCACAGTTTGCCTTTTCTTTTCATTGTAAATCTCCCTGTAGCAAGCAAGTGCATCTTGGATCAGTCTGTCAACTTTTGCAAAACGCTCAACATTGATCCATTTCTTCAAACATTTGCATCCCCTTATTAATAGTAGCAAATGCCTCTGCCTTGTCCTTCAAAATTGTTGATATCGTCGTGGGAGAGAAGCCAAGGTCGCGTGAAATGGTTGCTACCGTTTTTCCATTTTCATATTGCATTATTTTCATTTTCATTTCAAAAGTAATTGACTGTCTCCTTTTCTTATCAGCACCACGAGAACTCTCACGTTTACGCTTGCCAGCCATTTTAAAGGGAATTAGAAAAAAAAATTTTGTCAGTACTGTCGCGATCCCACTACCCTTTATACTTGGGGAGTGAATCCTACCCCAAGTTATTAACAAATAAAGGTACAAATAGGGAACACGGCAATAATTATCCCCACCAAATACCTACTCAACTAAATGTAGTTGAAAAAGTAAGAACAGTTGAAATAAGTGAATCACAAAAGGGAAGATAATTAATAAATTCAATTTATGTTTTAAAGGGAGTAATGATTAGCAAACATGAATTTAAGGGAATAAGTAATTGTATAATAAAATAAGAGTGATGCCGGAAGGGCGAAAATATACTGTAAGGAGTTAGACCAAACAAATATTACTTAACATTACTATATTACACAAGACATACGAAATATATATATACAACAATCACTACAAAATGATTATCCCTACCAAACAGGAGATACCTTACCACCAGGATCCCTTCCTAGGCCTAACTAAACGTGTCACTAATACCTGATACCCCTAGGGCATTGCAGAAGGCTGGATAAAGCACTAGACAAGGGTCAAGGCTAGAGAACGAATGGACACGTCTAACCTATGCCACGGATTTTCGCTACTGGGGTGGCGTGGGTACGCCGCCGAGCAAGCGCGTCTCATCTCACGTGATCCAGACATTTGCTAGATATTTTATATAATTAATTAATACTCTCTTGATTTGAACTTAACAGAGTAAGACAATGATGCATATTAATAACATACATAAATATACAATTAACCTAAGTAACTAAGAACAATAATAATATAATAAGTACAATTAACAATTTATTAATAGCTTGTATGAAATGTAGGAGTGAACATATGCCTCACGCTATGCGAGTTCCCGAGCGCTACAGGCACGTGACAGTACACAGCGCGATCACTAACAAAACGACGGCCAAACACCAACTGAGCGGGCTACGGCGTGGATGCTGTACACCACGAGGCGGCCCAGCCCACGCTGTCGTACGGGATGGAAACGTTTCGGTGCTAGAAAATAAGTACAGATACTGTAATTTGAAAAATATTTTATACGACTACTGCAGTCGTATGTCCGGGTTGTCGTAAGTCGAGAAAGTCGTAAGTCGAGGAGACACTATGATGGAGGTGAGGATTCATACCACTTTATCACATCTAATTTTTGTTCAAGAGTTAAAGCTTTTCTTTGTTTTATTTCACTTCCATTACCAGAATGCTTCACACCTTTGCTATTCATTGTAATTTATAGCAATAATGTTGATACACTACTTGTACTAAGATAAAGTTCAGTTTGCAATAATATCTCTGATGCTTATGGAAGATAAACAAAGATGGCTGGAGTGGTGCCACGCATCTCGCCTTGTGTGATACTACACCGAGGCAACTGCATAACTGCTTATTCCTACTTGAGTGACATAGTTCGGTTTACTCAATCGCGTTACATTACAGTATATCCAAATTGTATCCGTATTATAGAAAATGGGTTCCCTAATACGTTCATTGTGTTATTAACCCAATCATGCTATGAAAACGTGTCAGCATTATACAGTATACATTACAGTGGCATAGTGACCCCTTTACAACAGAATTGATTATTGCTCACGGATCACCTGAAGAATCTCCACAAAACTTTTATAATCCATACTTGTAAATACTATAAATAAACACTTAACTACAGGTAATTAATTCCACTTATAACATTCCAGATGTAGCCACTGAGACACTAACAACTAAAGTGACAGGAACTATTGGTGGAATTGAAATTCCATGGTTAGGTGTTGTGTCTGATGCCTGTACAAGCCTTATAGAGGGTGACTGCCCTTTGGAGGCTGGTGAGGAGGTTAAATATTCAGCAAAGGCCCCAGTCCTTAATGAATACCCAGCTGTAAGTACAGTTTCTATTTTTCTAACATTCATTAAGCACATTTCTATTTATTTTTCCAAGTTTTTCAAAATATGCTGCAGGATTGCCTGAATGAAGATAAAAATGCTTACGTGCTTATATTTATTCATTCTAAATGATGCAACACTACCAAAACCAAGGGACTATATGCTACTCTATCATTCATACTGCCTCTATTCTAGTATTGTACAGGGTATGTATTTCCTTCACCCTTATACTTACATCTTACTCTCAAAACAAAATCACAAAAACACAGTACTACTGTACACTGTACTGTACTGTACAATACTGTATTTTGTTATCAATTTGCCTGTGAATTAAAGGTGGCAAGAATGAAAAATTAATGTTAGCAGAACTGTAATTAAGAGTGAATGGAAGTAAATGAGGAGGACTCTTTTGTTGATTATTGATTCTGGTTCTCCTATGACATTGTGAGAAAAGACTTGCAAGAGTGGCAGAGAGGGAATTAAGTATGCAATATTAAATACAGTATTGCATTAGAACACAATTATCATGTGATTTTTATTTACTTTTTCTTTATTAGGTAATAGTGATCGTCACCTGGAAGTTGAAGGATCACGATGGTAAAACTACTGTCTGCTTCGTAGTGCCAGCACAGATTGTGTAACACTATATTATTTACTGTAACACAATAATTATTAAAATTTAATTATAACAATAGTCACTAAAATGGAATCCAAATAAATAAGCTAGACAATAAAGTATATACCTCAAATAGCTATTTTGATATACTGGACTACTTCCACCAGAAAAAAATACAGGCATGCCACAATATAATTTTGGGTTTTCTTGAACTGTATTGTACGTTGGAATGTATTTACCCATAAAGTCCCATTATAAAGCCAAAGATGTGTTCCTATGAAAATATTTATGATAAAAAACTACTGAAATAACACTGCAATACAGCTAAGATGTTTTCAAGTATGAGTACAGTATAGAGCAGTGGTTCCCAAACACAGGGTCGCAACCCCATTTATGCATTATAGGAGGTCGCATAGAGGTCGATGGGGTCGCCTGGTCTTGCAGCGGTCATATGTGACTTTTTTTTTTAAATCCAGGTGTCAAGGACTGAAGGAGAAGGCCGACAGGTGCTGTTTCGTTAAGTCGGGACCATAAATTATGGTCAAGGGATTAACGCAGTTACTCTCCTTGCCCTGTGACATGTTTCACAACAGAAGTTCCACACTCCTAAATACTGTATACCTTTTAACTGTTCTCAGTTCAGTTTACTCCCACTGATGCACACAGAAAATGGCAGCAAATTTCAATGAGTTGCTTACGGAGTATTTTGCACTCGTGACGTCAGAATTACAAGCTGACGAGGTAAGGGTGAATTTTGACGTCTATGATGACATAGCAAAGTTTGGGATTACTTTATCAGAGACGTTCAGCTGTCAAAAATCGAGCTATCAATGTTCTGGTATAAAAAAATATTACCATAACTGTATACAGTATCAACAAACTTCTACAGTACTTAGAAAATTGTATGCTATGTTACTTAACCTCATATACCATCAGGCATAGAAAATTAATCAAATGATGACATACACATGTCATATGAAGTATGACATAGTTGTAGCGTATGTTGTTTAACCACATAATTATGCTCCCAGTTAACAGAAAATTTATTAAATTATAATGCACACGTTAAATATGAAATATGAGTTATAATAAAGAAAACTGCATGTTATGTTGCTTAACCTTGTAATTATACACTCAGGTATAGAACACTAAATGATGCTATAATTATGACAGAGTTGTAACCTGTTTCTTCCTGAGTTTACTTTTACACTTCTCAATTATGTACAGAAATATATATTCTTTATTTGTTTTTAGTTATACAAATGTAAAAATATGTCCGTATTTATTCTACAAATCTTTATATTTAATGCAATGAATCGGAGTCACACTGGAAAATGCTTGGGAACCCCTGGTATAAAGAATAGTAATAAGACAGGAAACTAAAAGCAAATAATTTACTTACCAGAAATTGTGGTGATGTTGTGTGAGGTGATGCAATATTTGCAGCTTCCCCACTCACCTGGAAGTTGTGTGGTCCATGTCATTTCTTGAACCTCTCAAACCAGCCCCTGCCTGCAATAAAGTTTCTTCCTGCAAGTGTTCATTCTTCATATCTGCTGACATTGATCTTGCTTCCTCATGAATTTTAGGGTTGTTGAGTGAAACACTAAGCTTCTTGTGATCTTCAATTTAGACACTCAGCATGATGTACTCTATGTTTTTCATAAAATCACTTCTATGCCTTGATTACTTCATTACACCTAAGAGGTAAAACATCTTAATCTTGCCTTCATTTTTTCTGTTTTGTTTTGAAAGTAGCCACTGTGGTCCAAAAGCTTATGAGAGTTTGCCAATTTTTTTACTAGTTTCAATCTGCCTTATCATCTCTAACTTAATATCTAAAATGACAGCTTTGTGAGATCTCTTACCACTATGAGTGCAATTGCCCAATGTATTTGGGTAGAGGCTGTGAGGCACTTGAAAACTTGCAAAATTTGTTGGGGATTACAGTCCAAAGTGTGCAAAGCAAGGTACTGTAGTGCATTCAAACAATGTGGCCAGGAACAGTAAACAGTACAATGCATGCCTGGACAAATGACATTACATGCCTTTGTAAATGATATATCAATTTTTCTACAAAGAAAACATGTTAAAATTTCAAAGAAACAAAAGAATAAAATAAAATAACATGATGCCAACTGATTAAGTGTTCATTTACTGTATGTACAAGTAAGGAATCATTATGAATCGTATCAACATATTCTGAAGTACTCCTGTTACCTGTACAGTAATTCATATGAATAATTTTACAACATAAATGTAACCATATTCTAATAATAAATAATAATAATAATTAACTGTTTATTGAAAGAGCATGGTAACCAGAAGGATGGAAAATATACAGTTACATAATTGGGGAATGGATCCCCTGATTGACATATAATGTACATACTGTATATCTAAGATTGTCATCTACCAATAAGGTTTTGCTTTTTGATGTTTCAGACATGATGTTGACCCTCAATATTTGTGTCACACTGTAGCATCACAAGGGCATAAATTCATAAAGTTGATAATGCAGTGTAAAACAAAATTACAATACAGTATCCTTATACAGTGGTCCTGCCAACAACCATTATAATTATGCTAGTGATCTAAATAATTTTGAGACATCAATGTACATGTACAGTAATCCCGTGTTTTTCACGGGAATTACGTTCCTGAAACCCCCGCGAAAAGCCAAAACGCGTGTTCGGCATCCGGGCCTTCGATGTAGAGCGGCAGAAATTGGACAGTGATTACATAAGTTCGTCAAGATCGTCTTAGTGAGGTGAAAGTGTAAATCGATGTCGGACTTTTCATGCTAGACACGATTGTATTTTTGAAAACTCAATTTCCACCGAGTTGGAGGTACAGCCAGGGTCACAGGCCTATAACCACACAATCACTGCCACATGACAAAGCTTTTATTTTATTTTATTTTTTAGGGTGTTGTGGTCACGGCTGTGATAAAGGCCAACCAGGGAGTGTAGTACTGTGCCTTCAGTTAAATCAGTTCATAGTTGTCATCAGTGAATGCAGAAGAGACTATAATAACTTAAAGTGAATACATATTGGCAATCGAGCTGGTAAGGACAACTGCCAGCCTATTCGTGTCATAGGTGCCACAGAGACTTTAAATTTTATTTTGTTTGTGTGCTTGCTCAAGGACTGAATCTGTGTTTATAATACACCACCCACAGGGAGATACAGTGTACACAGTGATAGTTCATAGTGTCATCAGTGACCGCTGAAGTTGTAAATAACTTAAAGTGAGCGCTCACTAGCAAGCAAGCTGGAAAGGCACCGTGCCAGCTGAAACCAAGTCGTGTCATAGGTGCCACAGAGACTTTAAATTTTATTTTATGTTGATTGTGTGCTTGCTCAAGGACTGAAACTGTGCCTACAATACACCATTCACAGGGAGATACAGGGTACGCAGTCGCAGACGACAACTCCATAGGCAACAGAGAGTAGCTAAGTACTTTTTTCTCTCTTTATTTTCTTTGAAATAGGTGTAGATCTATACACAGTCTACACCCCCCCCACAACAACAACAACCATGAGTTTGGTATGTGATTACTGCAGGGAGACGTCGGATATGGAGGATGCAGGCCTAACTAATGCAACGTCTAGGAAGTTACTAACTGCCGTAAAGCTTGATGGCTGTTGCTGGTATTGCCCTGGCTGCATAGTCAAGGTGAATGAAGCGATTGCAATCCATAAGGGAACGAGTTCTCTAGGGACGAAAATAGATGAAGCAGGAGCCCTGCTGGTTGACAAACTGGAGCAAGTTGAGAAAGAGATCCTTGCTAAGACTGAGGAAGTAGCTAATAGAATGGAGGTGGTTGCTAAGAGGAGCTATGCGGACGTATTAGGAGGGCCACGGGTGGGGGGGGCGGAGAGTAATGCAGAATCAGTACAGGTTCTACAGCAGATTGGGACTCTGAAAAAGTGTGTCGAAGAAATGAAAATTAACGGACCTACTGTTAGGGGAGAGGAGGAACACCAGGAACGGCTCCAGCGCAGGAACAATGTAATAGTTTTTGGAGTCCCAGAGAGCCAGGCAGAGGGAACTGTGAGTAAGGAAACACACGACAAGGTGCTGTTTCAAAATATTTGCACAGAGGTTCTGAAGATTCCAGCAACCCCTCAGGATGTGAGGAGACTGGGACAAAAGCAGGGGGCTAAGCCTCGCCCCCTCAGGATCACATTAGGGAGTGAGGAGGAAAAATGGCAAGTTATCCGGCAGGCAAAAAACTTAGCAAGGAGCGAGGCATTTCGAGATGTATTTATTCACCCAGACCGCACGGTAATGCAGAGGGAACAGCACAAGAAGCTCCTGCTGGACTTGAAGCAGAGGAGGGAGGAGTCGAGAAGGAACGGGGACAGGTGCACATGGGTTATACTCAGGGGGAGGGTAGTGGAAACAAGTGTGCCGACACAGGGCCAGGGGGCAGCAGTGCACCCTCCACCCACTCAACCCCCCACCCGGGAGGCGGCACCAGCTCAGCCTACCGGACAGGAGGGAACGAGCGCCGTGTAAACAATGAAATTTTTAACCACACCCTGCAAAATACAGTGTACTTAGCAAATGCTGCAGCTTCTGAGAATGTGGGTGGAGCGGGTTTATTACTAAGAGCAGAGACGTTACCGAGAACAAATTCTGGCTTGAATGTCATGTACACTAATACCGACACGTTCCTGGATAAGAGGGAGGAGTTTGAAACACTACTAAGAGTACACCAACCAGATATTGTAGGAGTTGTAGAACTGTTGTACAAGAACAGGAGAATCGACCCAGAGGAATGTGAGTTCAGTATTGCTGGATATGACTCATTTACGAACCTAACTCAAGAATCCTGCAGGAGGGGTGTGGTTATCTACGCTAGGCAAGACCTTAGAGCCAGCCAGGCGAGGGTACAGGGAGAGGATGTTTTTGAAGAGTCCAAGTGGTGTAAAATTAAATTAAAGGGAGGGGACTTACTTATCGTCGGGTGTATCTACAGATCCCCGAACTGTGGCCCACTAAATCAAAGGAACTTAAGAACCTTAATAAACAATGCGGCGATGCTCAACCCCAGCCACCTCCTTATCATGGGGGACTTTAACTATGGCGACATCGACTGGAGAAACGAGTCAACCCCGAATGACTTGAATAATCCTGCTACTCTTTTTGTAGAAACTCTGAGAGATAATTTTCTGTTCCAACATGTGAGAGACCCGACACATTACAGAGGGGAACAAACACCCAAGCCACTTGACCTCATCATAACAAACGAGGAGGGTATGGTGGCCAAACTGGAACACCTTGCCCCAGTTGGCACCAGTCACCATACAGTGTTGTCATTCAGATTTAACTGTTACCTAGTTCAAGATAAGGCCAGGCCAAGGTGCAAATATTACAAGGGAAATTACAATGGGATGAGGGAAGAGATGAGGGGTATCAACTGGCCTGACTTATTAAGGTACAAGAACGCAGACACTACGCTGAATATCATAACTAGTAAAATGACCCATTTGATCGATAAATATATACCCAAGACCAAACCCAGTGCTTCTAGGAATACGAGGGGATCCCTACACATGAACCATGCGGCGGTCGACAAAATTAAGAAGAAAACCCAGAAATTCAAGACGTGGGTTGGGTCAAACGATGAGCAAGACAGGAGGATGTATGCAAGAGCCAGAAACCAAGCAAAGATAGAGTGTAGGAGGGCTGAAAAGGAGTTCCAAAGGCTGGTTGCACGCGAGGTCAAGTCAAACCCAAAGGCGTTTTACCGCTATGCAAAGTCGAAATTGAAAACGCGAGTAGGAGTATCAGACCTGAGGCTTGAAGATGGTAGTTACGCAGATTCTGACCAGGATAAAGCTGAGGCATTGAACAGCTTCTTTTCCTCAGTGTTCACAAGAGAGGATGCAACTAACCTTCCTGCGTTTGAGGACAGACGGTTCGACACAGCACTGACCCACATTGTGTTCACAGAAGAGGGTATTAGAAATAAACTGTCCAGGCTAAAGGTCCATAAGAGTCCTGGACCTGACATGGTGCATCCTAGAGTGCTAAGGGAGCTGTGCAACGAGCTTGCAGAGCCCCTGAAGATTCTGTTTTGTAAATGCCTGGATGAACAAATGGTCCCCAGTGAATGGAAAGTGGCTTATGTGAGTCCTATCTTCAAGAAGGGCGATAGGCACTCCACGAACAACTATAGACCGGTGAGCCTGACCAGCATAATATGTAAAGTACTTGAGAGTATTATCAGAGATGCAGCGATGGAACATCTACTACGAAACAACCTTGTAAAAGATTGCCAACACGGTTTTATGCCGGGGCGCTCTTGCTTGACACAATTGCTCAAGGTATTGGATATTTGGACCCATATTCTAGAACGGGGTGGTAATATCGACAATATTTACCTAGATTTTGCCAAGGCTTTCGACAGTGTACCCCACGAAAGGCTGAAAATCAAACTGGAAGGGTACGGAATTCGGGGAAATGTCCTAGCGTGGATAGAAGACTTTCTACATGACCGCAAGCAATGTGTGGTGATTAATGGCACGAAATCGTCATCTGTACCTGTAACAAGTGGGGTACCGCAGGGTAGTGTATTGGGCCCGCTGTTGTTTGTTTGTTTCATAAATGATATGCCTGACGTTGTACACTCCTCCATACAAATGTTTGCCGATGACGCCAAGTTATTTCGGGAAATTAAGAACCAAGCGGACTGTGAAGAGCTGCAGAAGGACCTCTGTGGGCTCCAGGAATGGTCGAAGGAATGGCTGCTGAGATTCAATGTCACGAAGTGTAAGAGGATGCA